TCCTTCTTGTTGTCTGAATAAGACTAAAGGTCTTGAGGGTGGATCCATTCCCAGGTAGTTTACCAAGTGGTTGGCTCACTTGCAGGAACTGGAGGTAATGGGGGTGGGTCCTCTTAGGGCAGAAAGAACGTGTCAGCAGCCCATTTGAAAGCCGGCACAATGTTTAATCCCAAAAGTCCTCTTTAAAAAGAAATTCTACACTACTATATAGCAATTAATAAGAATTACAGGCACTGCTAGTGAACAATCTCTCTATTCTTGCTAAGTGAAAAAAATACAGCGTGATCTCAGTCATGCAAACAAAAAAAAGGACACCTTTAAATGTTTGTATATGCATTAAAAAAATCAAAGAAGCAACTTAATAATTGTTATTTTTAGGGAATGAGACTGGGAGAAGGGCTTTGTTTTTCATCTTCTGTGCTGTTTGCAGATGTTTTTACAACATATATGTGTAACTTGCAAAATTTTTTAAACTAATTAATAAAAAGCAACCAAAAGGGGCCGGCCCAGTGGCGCAGCGGTTAAGTGCACATGTCCCGCTTCAGGGGCCCGGGCTTTGCTGGTTTGGATCCCAGGCGTGGACATGGCACCGCTTGGCAAGCCATGCTGTGGTAGGTGTCCCACATATAAAGTAGAGGAAGATGGGCATGGATGTTAGCTCAGGGCCAATCTTCCTCAGCAGAAAAACTGCTTCCCAAAAGTGATCCTATCATATTTAATCTATGAGTAGGCAAACTACAGCCTGCCTATTTTTAGCCAGCCTGCAAGCTAAGAAATGTTTTTACATTTTTAAATGGTTGACCAAAAAAAAAAAAAATTAAAGAAGAATATTTCATGATGTGAAAATTACATGAAATTCAAATTTCAATGTCATGAATAAGACTTTCTTGGAACACAGTCACACTCGCTCACTTACCTACTGCCTCTGGCTGCTTTTAGTCTACAAAAGCAGACTTGAGTAGTTGTGAGAGGCGTGTGCCCACACAGCATGAAATATTGACTATCTGACCATTTACATAAAAAGTTTCCAATGTTCGCGAATTGGAAGACTTAATATTGTTAAGACGCCAACACTCCCCAAACTGATCTGGAGAGTCAGTGCATCCCCATCAGAATCCCAGCTGGCTTCTCTGGAGAAACTGACAACCTAACCTGACAATTCATCTGGAAACAGAAGGGTTCCAGGATAGCCAAAACTATCTTAAAAAAGAATAAAGTTGGAGGACTCACATTTCATGATGTGAAACTCTGATACAAAACTAGATTGATCAAGACTATATCGTACTTAGAGGACAGACATATAAATCAATGGAAGAAGATGGAGAGTCCAGAAATAAATCCATACATTTACAGGCTATTAATTTTCAACAAGGGTGCCAAGACAATTCAATGGCGAAAGAACAGTCTTTTCAATAAATGATGCTGGGACAAATGGATATCTACACGCAGAAGAATGAAGTCGAACCCTTACCTTACACTATATATATATAAAGATTTACTCAAGATGGATCAGACCTAAATGTAAGAGCTAAAACTCTAAAATTCTTAAAAGAAAACATGGGAGTAATAAACCTCTGTGACCCTGAATTAGGCAACATTTTTTAAGATATAACACCTAAATCACAGCAAGCAAAGACAAAATAGAAAACTGGACCTCACCAAAAGTAAAAACTTGTGCCTCAAAGGACACTGTCAAGAAAGTGAAGAGACAACCCATAGAAAGGGAGAACGTTTTTACAAATCACATATCTGAGAAGGATCTAATATCCAGAATATATAAAGAACTGTTACAATTCAACAATAAAAAGACAAATAACTCAACTGAAAAATGGCCAAGAATGAGGACCAGGGCTTACAAGCTACGTATAAATGGTCCCGAATCTTACCGCTGCACTTCCTCAAACAGACTTATTTTTGTCTTAGAATAAACTCTTATCTGTTTGAGCTACTGCAGCAGGGTTTTCTGTTATTTGCTGCTGAATACAATCCTAACTGACAACACTAACTACAGCTACATTAAGTCAGGCTTAGCAGAGATGAACAACTCCTGTTAGTTCTACCCTCAAAATCCAGTCACTTCTCACCTTGCTACTGCCAACATCTGGATCCACCACCTCTCACCTGTTCACAGCAACAGCTTCCTAATTGGTTTCCTGCTTCTGCCCATGCTCCCCTTCACTCTGTTCTCAGCTAGTGTTCACTTTTAAATGGAACTCGAATCTTGCCACTCCTGTGACCAAACCCTCCAATGACTTACTCACATAGTAACCTTACTCACTAAGTGACCCTCTCACTTAGAATAAATGTGAATGTCTTTATTCCACCTGCAAGAAAGGGCCTATTAATCTGGTGTAGCACTTCCTCTCCCTCTGACCTCACCTCCTACTTAGAGCATCCCTCTCACTAATTGAACCAGCCAAACTGACCTCCTTGTAATCCCTCAAACAGGGGGACCTTGGACCTATTCCCCTTGCCTGGAATTCCCCTCCTCTATACACTCTCATAGCTATATCCTTGACTGTCTTTAGGTATTTACTCCAAAGCCACCATCTCCATGGACCTTCCCCAAGCACCTTATCGAAAATGTCAACACCTTATCAACCCTGACATTCCCTAGCCCCCTTTCCTGCTTTGCTGTTCCTCCTTCATTTATCACCATCTAACACACTGTATCTATCTTGTTTGTTGTCTGTGTCCCTCACTAAAATGAAAGCTTCCTGAGGGCAGAGCCTGCACCTATTAGAATAGTGCCTGGCACATATTAGATGTTCAGCAAATATTTATTGATGAACAAATAACTAAAGTCAGGGGAAAACTAGGCAGGAATCTGAAGAATGACAAAGTGCCAAAGGCAAATGTCAACTGACTCATAATTATAGTTAGGACGCTCCCCTGCACGCCAGTCCCACCAGAAGCCCTGCATCCTATATGCTGAGCTGAGAGCAGGCACTCAGATACTTTAACCGAAGCCCACACAAGGCTGTGACACTACACTTCCACACAAAAGAGAGCAAAGAACATAAAAATAGAACAGATACTTCCTAAATTGCCTTTGGCCAATTTTACTTTGGGGAACAGATTTTTCAGCTGAAGCATCTGAACAGAAATGCCAAGATCTAAATACGAAAGCAGTGAGTTTGTTACTCAAAATTAATGAATATCTGGGGCCAGCCGGGTGGCATAGTGGTTGAGTTCTGGCACTCTGCTTCAGCTGCCCGGGGTTCACCAGTTGGATCCCAGACCCAGACCTACACACCGTTAGTCAAGGCCACACATGGCAGCATCCTACATAGAAAGTGCAGGAAGACTGGCACAGATGTTAGCTCAGGGACAACCTTCCTCCAGCGACAGCAGTTGAGACCTCTCCCACCCAGAGCCCTGCTTAGTGCTTCCAGTTGTTTACACAAGATCCACATAATGTGTGAACTTCCATGATGTCTACCTCCCGGAGAGGCACCACAATAAAAGTCTGGAATGGTTATGATTATAAATTACCCGCTGTAGAGATAAGTCAAATTGTTAAAAAAAAAAAAAAAAAGTTCTCTAAAAGTTCTCTAAGTGTCCAAACAGGGCTTTCCTCTTACAAGAAAAAACAATTTATTTCTCAATTTTACTCTAACAGATAAGCCAAGATTAGTCCCCAAATCCTCATTTTTTTAATTAAATTCTCAGGACACAGCAAGGATCATATCACAAACATAAAGAACAAGAAAACATTACGAAAAATGCATCAGTCTTAATAGAGTGAGCTTCTTAAAGGGCTGCTTCTTGAAGACTGTCTCATTAAATGCGATCTTTCACATCCTCAGATCAGAAATAAAATGCCCCGAGGTCAGGGAAAGGCCTGAACTGCAGCGGAGCCCTCTAACCTCTGCTGAACACTCAGCACAATGGACTTCAGGGCAAAGTACTCGGGTTCTGTTAGAAGGTGCTATTCACGGTCTCTTGTTTCAAAAATGCTCCTAGGCACAAGCCACAGGGACTCCTAGCTTCCAAACAACACCAAAATGTCAGCAATGAAAGAAACACACGTCCCTGGGGTCCACAGACACTCACGTTCTAGCAAGCTGGGCTACAAGACCTTACTGGTGAAACGCACACCCTTCACCCTCCAGCAATTGACCTCTCCCTCAGCAATGTGTCGTTTTTATTTCCAACTGAAAACAGGTAATAAACTTCACTCAACTCTTCCTAATATTTAAGTCAACTTTATTAATTCTCTTGTTAATAGTAATAATAACTTGTCAATAATAATTAATATCTTGTTAATGATAACCATCTAAGTAGCTCACCACTTATGCACTTGGCAACCACAACTCATTCAAGTGCCTGCAGACCAGCTTGAGCTGATGCTTAAAATCCTGTTGCTGCCACTGCGATGCCCGAAGTAAAGGAAACGTCTTGCGAACGTGGGAATGCAGCCCCAAGTCGCAGGCTGTTTAAAGGGCCCCTTGGAAAAAGAAGCTCCATCGGGCCGCATCCGCACTCCCCCGCCCTCCCAGCCCGACGTCCTAGAGCCATGATGTCATGCACCATCCCCACATCACCCAGCTCCAATTCCCGGCTCCTAGCGAAGCGCCCTGCGCCCCAGCCCTCCTCCCTCTCAGACTAAGAGAAAGGGAACGGAGGAAGCGGCCGGAGAGAGCCAACCCGGACGCGCTCTCGGCTCCTCCAAGTTCTGCTCACAACACAGTCCCAGTTTGTTGCAAACCTAAAGCGGCGAGTTCCGTCCCCAACTTGGCCTGCCGGGCAGGGCAGACGACGGGGCCCGAGACCGCCTCGGCGCCTTCGGGAGAGCCGGCGAGGCAGTGCCGCGCGCGGAGGGACGAGACCCGCGAGGGGCCGAGGAGGGACGCGGGACGGGGTCTCGCGGCAGGAGGGGCGCCTGTGCCCTCCCTGGGCTCGGGGCCTCGGGGTGGCCCTGTCGCGGCGGGGCCGGGTCCGCAGGGCCGCCGCTGACCCGGCGTCGCCGGGTGGGGACCTGCAGGGGCCGCACTCACGGTCGATGCAGCGGCTCCTCGGCCGCGGCCGGGCCGGGCGGCGGCGGGGGCGGCGGCGGCGGCGGCTGCTGCTGAGGCGGCGGCGGCTGCGCCTGCGGCGGCGGCTGAGGGGGCTGAGGTGGCGGCGGCGGCTGCTGCTGCTGCTGCTGGAAGGACTTGAGGGACTCGAAGGCCTTCATCAGCTTTTCCAGGGTCGCCATGGCGGCCTCCTGCCCCGCGGGGACAGTCCCCGGAGCCCTCGGGCCGGCTCGCGGCGCCGCTCAGCAGCGCGGCAATGAATGAGGCTCCGGGCCGCGGGCAGAAGCGGAACCCAGGTGCTCGGCCATCTTGGGCCCGTCCCGGCAGCCCCTGCGGTCCTGCGTTCCGGGACGCTCCGCCGGCGGGGCGGGGCCAGTCCGGGCCTGCGGGATTGACAGCCAGAGGCGGCGGCCTCTACCAATGGCCGGCCGTGGCGCCGGCCCACCCCCCGCGCCCTCCAGCTCGCCTGCCGTAGCCGCCGCGGCCTCAGGAATCACAGCGCCGCTTCCCGAAGAGGGCACGGGGCGCGGCGGGGGCGGGGCGGGGCGGGGCGGGGCGCAGCGATAGGGGGCGGGGAAGGGGGCGGGGCGCAGTGATAGGGGCGGGGCGGGGGCGGGGAAGGGGCGGGGCGGGGCGGGGAAGGGGCCCGGCAGTGGGGGCGGGGCGCAGCCGGTAGGGGCGGGGCGGAGCGGGGCGGTGAGCGGCTGGGTTGCAGGCGCTGCGGGACATGGGAGGGGAAGGCGTTGAGGGAAAAGAGGGAGAGAAGCTACCGGAAGGAGGCGCGACGCTGAGGAGGTAAGGATCGGGGCGCAGCGGAGAAGGAGACCTCCCAGGGAGCAGCCCCCGTTCGAAAGGAGCCCCTGGCCGACGCCTGGGGTCGCAGGCAGTGCCCGCCGTGGGCCGAGAGCCGGGGACCCCCGCGGGGCGCGCCTGCCCACCCAGCGGCCGGGCCGAGGGACGGGCTCCCTTGGACAGCCCTGCGGGGAGCGAGTCGGGACACTGCATGCAAGGAGCAAGCGGGAAGCGAGTGCGCCCTGCACAGAACCGGAGGATCCTACGGTTGGCGAAGACCTGCGGCATTGGTCCTTTGGGGCGGGAGCCCAGGTGTGGCCCCCCAGAGAGGAGAGGGGTCCTGGAGGCCGGGGGCCTGCACCTCCCAGAGGTTGCAGCCCGAGGGGAAGGGGAGGAGAGCGGCAGGCACGGTGCCCGGAGAGGCTGTGGCTGTGCAGTGAGAAGTGCTTTGACCCCAAGACGCCCCCCCACAGGAATGACTTTCCGACCAAGGGGCTCCCCTCCAGGGGAGAGGACCCCTGATCCACAAAGGCTTATGGGCACCTCCTGCGTAGGGTGGGGCAGGCTGGCAGTGGCAGGGTCCCGATCTCCAGAGCCTCACCGCCTAGAGGGAGGGAGGTGAGCCAGCAGAGGGGCACAGAGGATGGGGGCCAGGGTTGCGGGGGCCGGCATCCGAGGACAGCTATCCCACCCGCAGGACAGAGAGTGGATTGGCCTCAGAGAGAGCCACCTGGGTTAGGTGATGCAGGTAGTGATGGACCCTCCAGAGCCTGCTTAGGGCTGCACGCTGTTCTGGCCCACAAGCCGCATCTCCACCTTCTCTCAGAGCCCTCTCATTTGTCCCAAAGCGCCAGGTAAATGGAAACCCAGCATCACCACAAAAAGCATTGTCCCCAAGAGGACAGCAGCGTCCCCTCTTCAGGGGAAAGACTGCATAGAAACGTGTCTCCAGCCTTGAGGTTGTGATTCCCTGTTAACAAAGGCCCTCTTCCATGGGAGCCAGACCATGAGCCAGCCTCCACGCAGGGCAGGCTGTGATGGCAGGGCTCCAGGCGTCAGGTGCTGGGGTCCACAGCCTTCTAAGATGACCCAATGACCCCTCCGGTGTTCACACCCTTGTGTAGTCCCCTCCCCCTGAGTGTGGGCTACCTGGTGGCCGGCTTCTACTCAACCTAAGAAAGCAAAGGGGATGGGATGGACCTCTGTTACCTTCTTGGCTCGCACATATTCGTGAAGCAAGCTGCCATGTTGCAGAGGCCCACATGGCCAACAGCCAGTGAGCATCAGAGGCTCTCAACCCAACAGCCACAAAGAACTGAATCCTGCCTACACCACACGAGCTTGGCAGCGGATCCCTCCTCAGTCCAGCTTCAGGTGAGAGGCAGCTGGTACTTGATTGCAGGCTTTCAAGAAATCCAGAAGTGAAGGGCCCAGTTAAGCTGTGCCTAGATTCCTGGCCCACAGCAACTGGGAGATCCTAACTGTGTGTTGGTAAGCCCGGTGTGATTGGTTACACAGCAGTAGGTAAGTATTAGTTCTCTAGGGCTGCAATAACAAAGACCCGCAGACCTGGGGGCTTAAGTGACAGAAGCTGATTCTCTCACTTCTGGAGACTGGAAGCCCGAGATAAGGTCTCAGCAGGGTTGTTTCTCCTGAGGCTCTCCCCTTGGGTTGTAGACGGCTGTCTCCTCCCACTGTCCTCGTATGGTCATCCCTCTGTGTGTGTCTGTCCTAATCTCACCCTCTTCTTATAAGCACACCAGCCATTGGATCAGGGCACACCCTAATGACCTCATTTTACTTTAATTGCCTCCTTAAGGACCCCATCTCCAAATATAGTCACATTCTGAGGTGACACTTCAGCATATGAATTGGGGGCACTCAATTCAGCCCATAACAATAAGTAGTGAATTGTCTCCTAATAGCCACTCTGATAGGACCTCAGTTTTTTTCTGAGTACTTTTCCACTTAGTTAAAATAGTTCATTCCCCATCCTTCCTTTTAGCTGGCTGTAGCCATGTGTTTAAATAAGTTCTGGCTGATGAGATGGAAGCAGAAACGATGTGTGTTCTAGAAAGTCTCCTTATAAAGGAAGAGATACACCTATCTTCTTCCTGCTGCCTGGAATGGGGATGTGTAGGTTGGCACTTGAGCAGTTATTTTGGGTCATGAGGATGCAAGCCACATTCTGGGATAATGGAGCTGGAAGAAGGCAAGGCCCAGATGACTGAGTGGAGCTGCCATTCCAGCCTGACTTGCCCATCCCTGGATCTCTCACAGATGGAAATCTGTGAGAGAGAAATATAATTCTAAAGCCTTAGAAATGGGCACAGTCCCTGAACAGCAAAGACACTTCCAGTGACTTACCCTAGGAAGATAATCGTGTGTGTGAGGATGGTCATTCATCACAGCAACACTGAGGACAAAAAAATGGGAACAATGTAAATGCTGGACAGAAGGAGATGGGTACGTGAATCGTGATGCATCCACATGACAGAGAACTGTGCAGTCATTTGAAGAGCAGTTGTGACATGGGAACAGGTGTGCAGTGCGTTAGCAATTGCACTACTGTGTGTAGTGTGATCCCCCCTCTTTTATTTTAAGGAGAGAAAACCACACACACATAGAAAAGGGACCTGTCACCAGCTCTGTAACAGTGACTCTCTCTAGGCACAGGGGATTTATATCTTAATCTGTGTGCTTTTCTGTAGTTTTCAGATCTTCAGCAATGAGCATGCACTATTCGGGGGGGAAAAATGTAAAAGGATAAGTTTGGGTGAGGAGCTGAAAATGAAAGCTGAGCACCACATTTGTGACTGGCCCTGCCCAGGAAGAGAGGGAGATATTTAAAGCAGCCCGACACGCGTCCCCCACCCCCACAAATGAGGGACACTCCAGCTAGGGGGCTGGCACCTGCCCTGAATCCAAAACCAGGTGCGAGTCGATGGCGGGTGAGGCTTGGGCAGGAAAAAGAAGAGAATTCGAAGCGGAGCCAGAGGAATGAGATGAGTAGGCAGGTAGCTCCTGAGGCAATTTGGTGGGCCCCTGCCAGTCCCTGCTGAGGGTTCCTCCCAATTTAGAGGGTATTATTGCCATATATTTGAGTTCTACATAAATACACACACATATTGCAAAAGACAGTAATTGTTGTTTTGAATGGTCAACATTTGTTTAAGTTGACTCCTAAATTTATCATTTTTATTACTCTTCATTCTTTCCTATGTTTCTGATTTCCCATCTGGGATCATTTTCTTTTGCCTGGAAGACACTCTTTAGAATTTCTCTTACTGGATCTTCTATTGCTGAAATCTCTCAGTTTCAGTTTATCTAAAACTGTCTTTATTTTACCTTCATTCTTATGGATTTTCGGTTGGGTGTAGAATTCTAGGCTGGCAGATACTTTCTGTCAGCAGAGTGAAGATCTGGACATCGCTGTCTTCCGCTTTTCATTCTTGCTGTTGGGAAGTCAGTTGTTGATTTAATGGTTGCTCATTTGAAGGCGGTGTGTCTTTTTCCCCCCTCTGGCTGCTTGTAAGATTTCCCCGTGCCTTTGGCTCCCTGTAGTTTAACTGTGCCGTGCCTGAGTGTGTAGGAAGAAACCAGTCAACTTGTTACAGGATGACCCTGGGGATCCTGTTCAGTGATCTAGCAGGAGGCTGCGCAGCAGGAAGAGCTCAAAAGGCTGGCCGATACCAGTTCTGGAAGTTGTGGATGAAGCTCCCCTGGTGAAAGGTGTCTAGGATGAGGACGTTCTTTTCACCAGCAAAGCCACTCCCCACAGACTGAAATCTGCCATTGCTGCATGCTTGGCCAGGAGCTCCCTGTTCCCTTCCAGTCCCCCTATAAATACACAGAATGACAGGGAGCAAGGTCTCTCTCCTGGGTACTGCCTGTGGTGGAACCAGCTGGGCCTGGAGCTAACACAACTCTCCATGGGATGACGAGAGCTTGGGAGACAGGCACTGCTTCTAAGGACCCTCTGCCTCTAAGTTTCTCGTTAACTCCGGTTTCTGCCTGTACCGTGAGTTGTTTGTGGTGTCCTGGCTTGATTTAATAGTAGGATTTCTCTTCATTTAATCTGCTTGGGATTAGTTGGGTTTTGAATCTGTGGATTGGTGGCTTTCATGTTTGGAAACCTCTCAGTCATTCTGTCACAACATTGCTGCTCTCCCTTCCTCTTCTCTCTTCCTGGTGCTCCATGTAAATGTAGAGTAGATATTTTCATATCCTATCTTCCATTTTCCTTTTTTTTTGGCATCTTGGTGCTTTATTCTGGATAGTTTCATCTGACTTATTTTACTGCTTCTCTGTTTGGCTGATTCCACTGTTGTTAAACTTCCTATTTAAGCATTAAGTCCTAAAATTTTGTAGTTTTCAGTCCTAGAATTTATACTTAACTCTTTCTAAAGTATGCTGTGTCACTTTTTATATTTTGTAGTTCCTGGCCAAAATTTTCAAGCTTTGCAAGTTTTCTCCTTGAGCATAATAAGCATTGTTGTTTGAGTCAGTTTTTCATATATTTCCATTATCTATCCAGTGGGAGAGCTATGTTCTTTCCTGAGCAAAAACTTTAAAGCTCAGTTGTTTCCTTATTAGAAGATCAGGACTGGAAAAGCTCCTTCCTGTTTAAAATGGTGACGTGCAGCGCTGTTTGGCCCTCCAAGTGACAGGCATGACATACATCAAGCGGAAGCACAGCCCCCCCACCACACAGCGCAGGCTCTACCCTGGGCTCATCTTCCGAAAGAGAAGGGAAAGAAATGTGATGGAAAACAATAAGCATTTGTTCTAACGATAAAGAGCAGTGTCTAAGAATTTCACTAGGGTCACTTAAGAGGGGCAACACAGCAAAGCAGAAGAGAAAGGGGCCAGAACCTGCCTGAGCAGAGGGGCTCTGAGATGGGCTGAATTCAAAGTCAGGGCATCAGAGAAGGAAAGTTTGAGACTTCAGAGAATGAGCCAAAGGGAAAGCTTTGTCACTCCACATGCTTCACTTTACAGATGATAAAGCACAGACCCAGGAAGAGAGATGTTTGACTCCAGGTGACATTTAATTACACACCGTGCCCAGAATCCACAAAGTCCTGGCTGTAAGGCTCCAGGGTGAGGTGTGTACAATTTATAAAAATAGTAGACTCGTGATTCAGTAAGTGAGTAAAGGGTAAAGGGAGTACTAACCAGGATTGGTAAGGACACACGGAAACAAAGACTTCCGTTAACTGCCAGTTCTAACAAATGCGTATGACTTTTCTGAAGAGTAGTTTGGCAAGGTCCGTGAAAAGACTTAAGTATGTGACCCATTTAGCATATACTTACGGAGCCTTACTCTAAGGACAGTATTAGATAAGCATTCAAACATGGAGATACAAAGATGTTAATTAAAGCAATAATAATATAAAAAAGATGAAACAGCATAAGTGTTCAACAATAGGGAATTGGTAGAAACAGTATTTTTAAACGTTGGAATAGGGGCTGACCTGGTGGTGTAGTAGTTAAATGCACACGTTCCGCTTTGGCGGCCCAGGGTTCGCCGGTTCAGATCCCGGGTGCGGACATGGCACCACTTGGCACGCCATGCTGTGGTAGGCGTCCCACGTATAAAGTAGAGGAAGATGGGCACGGATGTGAGCTCAGGGCCAGTTTTCCTCAGTGAAAAGAGGAGAAGAGGATTGGCAGCAGTTAGCGCAGGGCTAATCTTCCTCAAAAAAAAAAAAGTTGGAATAATGCCAAAAGGCCATTAAAAATGACATGCTCAGGAGGACGTGGAGAAATTTGAACCCTTGTGCACTGCTGGTAGAAACGTGAAATGGTGCCGCCGCTGTGGAAAATGGTGTGGCAGTTCCTCAAAATATTAAAAATAGAATTACCATGTTTATTGTTGTTGTTAGTGCCATCAGGTGGATTCTGACTCCTAGTGACCCTGTGTACAGCAGAGCAGAACCCTGCCCAGTCTTTTTGCACCATCCTGCCACCTTCCAGTGCCATATCAGACAATGCTCTGCTGCTATTCATAGGGTTTTCATGGCCAATTGTTTCGGAAGTGGGTGGCCAGGTTCTTCTTCCTATTCTGTCTTAGCCTAGAAGCTCTGCAGAAACTTCTTCACCACGGTGACCCTGCTGGTATTTGAGATACTGGTAGCATAGCTTTCAGCATCACAGCAACATGCAGCAGCCACGGTATGACAACAGATGGATGGTGTGGCTCCCTGACTGGGAAGTGAAACCAGGCCGTGAGAGCACCAAATCTTAGTCAACAGACCACCAGGGCTGGCCTGTATTACCATATGACCCAGCAATTCCACTTCTGGGTATACACCCAAAAGAATTGAAAGCAGGGTCTCAATGAGATATCGTGCACCCATGTTCATAGCAGCATTAATCACGATAGCTAAAACGTGGAAGCAACCCAAGTGCCCCTCAGTGGATGAATGGATAAGCAAAATGTGGTCCATCCATACACTAACATATTATTCGGTCTTGAAGGAAATTCTGCAATATGCTACAACATGGATGAACCTTAAGGACATTATGCTAAGTGAAATAAGCCAGTTACAAAAGGACAAATGCTGTATGAGGCCATTTATATGAGGTCCCTAGACTAGTCACATCCATAGAGACAGAAAGTAGAATGGTGGTTGCCAGGGGCGGAGGGTGGGGGTGGAAGTGATGCAGAGTTACTGTTTCATGGCGATAGGGTGTCAGTTTTATAAGATGCAAAGTTATGGGGATGGATGGTGGTGACAGCTGCTCAACACTGTGAATCTATGTAATGCCACTGAACTGTACGTGTAAAAATGGTTAAGATGGGAAATTTTATGTTTATTTTATCACAAAAAAAAGAAAGAAAAAGAAATACCTAGTTTCTAGTGAAACTGTTCACCAAAAGAAAAACCTAGTTTTTGGTGAAACTTTAACAGGGAACCGTTACTCATTTTTGGCGAGAGGGGAAAATTGTGAAAAATTTTCAGAAGGGCAATTTGTTCATATAGGCATATAATACACATTCTTTAAAAATGTTCATACATCTTTTTTAGTGCATAATTGTGCTTTATTTGGGGAAAAAAGCAAGTAATTTTTATAACGTGATGTTTATTTTTATGTTAAGAATACATAAACATGGTCAACACAAAGAGTCAAACACAGTGCTTATAAAGAAAGCCGCATTCCTCTGCCTCGTTTCTGCCCATCCCAGTGGGACTGCTTTCCAGACATAACCACTTTTAACTGTTGTAGCTTTTCTTGTAACAGTTTCATCAACTGTTCATGCACTTTTCCCAGGGCACCCCCTGCTGAGGACCTGCCCTAGAAATATTATCAGGTGTGTGCACAGAGAAGGAGCTGCAGAGATGTCCATCCCATTGATATTTATAACAACAAGAAAACCAGAAGCAACATTTGTTTGGATTGTTTGAATAAATGATGGCCTAAATGTGCGATAAAAGATTAAGTAGCCAGATATATTTAAATAACATGGCAAGAAATAACTATAAATTATATAAATATGTAATAAAATATAGGGATTATCATTGGACAGTGGCTGATATTAAAGATGAATTTTTCATTGTATACTCTTTTTAATTTTAAAATTCTCTTTAATATTTGCTTGCTTATTTTTTTTTTTTTTTTGAGGAAGATTAGCCCTGAGCTAACATCTGCCGCCAATCCTCCTCTTTTTTTTTTTTTTTGCTGAGACATACTGGCCCTGAGCTAACATCCGTGCCCATCTTCCTCTACTTTATATGTGGGATGCCTGCCACAGCATGGCTTAACAAGTGGTGCGTCCACGTCTGCACCCAGGAACCAAACCAGCGAACCCAGGGCCACCGAAGCGGAATGTGCAAACTTAACCACTGCACCACTAGGCTGGCCCCTATATGCTTGCATATAATCAGAAAGAAAAAAATATGTTCAATATGTTAATTTACCAAATAGTCTGTAAAAATCCTTACTGAGATTTGTTGTCTCAGTCAAGGCTTTCTCAGTTGGGCATGGAGACAACCCAGATAGCTTAAGAAAAAGGAAAAACAAGAAAAAAGAAAACAGGACTCTGTTGGTTCCTACAGCTGTGCCCTAGGGGTGCGAATGACCCCTCAGGCTCTGGCCCTCCCTGCATCCATCTGGCTTCCTCCTCACACTTGGCTCTGCAGGCAGGTGGTGTCTGCATGCCCAGCCTCCACACCCTGTGACTGGCCGAGGGAAATCTGGTCCTCAGCCCAGCCTGGCCCTCGCCAGCCCTACCAGATAATCTACAGCAGAAGGCAGGAGGGTCCCCCAGAAGGGATGGGAGGTAAACACGTGCACCCCACCCCGAGTGTCTACACTGATGGAGAAGAATGTCTGGAGGACTCAGGATATAAACAGATGGTAGCAATAAAGGTGATTTTTATTTTCTTTACATTTTCCTGTATTTTTTATGATGAGCACATTTTCCCACCATTGGTAACACATTTACTGAGGAGGTATCATGGACCAAACACTCTGCTTTTAAATCTTTTATGGAAACCGCACTTTCCTCTCAGTCTCCTCATGAGGCAGGAACTCCTGCCATCCCAATTCTAGAGACGATTCTAGAGATGAGGATGAGGCAGAGCAGAGGTGCCAGGGTCTCATTGCGGCTGCCAACCCTAGAAAGCCCCAATCAGAAGAAAAGCAAAGCTATTTTGATCCCCCTAAAACAAAGGCCCCAGACCCCAAGATAACATCCCCATTCCCTCACCCCAGTACAAAGAAGGCTCTGGAAGGACTTCTTGTCAACTTACTGGACGTCACCCTGGGAGGTATTTTCCTCTGGAACGCTGGTCTTGCTGCTATCATTTCATAAACACCCTGCTGCAAACCACACCTCAGGAAGCACCTTTTGGGCTCAGTGACTACTAGGGCAGAGCCGTCTGCTTGGGGACACACTGATGTCAAACCTGAAGTGAGTTCGCTCACCTGCTGTGCAGCAAGCCAATCTCTGGCACCAGGTGTAGTGGAAGAAAGCAGGAATTATATTATTGCACAGCACTGAGCAAGGAAAAAAGGCAGCTAACGGTGAAATCCAAAACTCCCCAAAAAGCTAAAAGTAAGGGTTTTTATTTGGAGTTTTAGGGAGGGACAGGGGAGCATATAGCCTTGCTGGTCAGAGTCTTTCCACCAGCCTGTTTGGCCTTGAGACTACTTGCAGAGAGGATGAGATATCGAGTCCAGGTGCTTGTCCTTGGCTGTCTGTCTCCATGGCAAATAGTGGATTCTGGAGCCAGGAAGCCAGCGAGTAAGCAGGGGATGAGTATTTGGTTTTAACCCCATATATGCTGGGTTTAATGTAGGGAAACTGATACCAGGGCCAGTATCAACACTGCCCACAGGAAAGCAACACCGAGCCCGGCCCTCGTGGGGAGATCTCAGCACTGCCCTGGCACGTTCTCCACAGCATGTGACAGTGTCCTGGCATCCAGACCAAGTCCTTACTGTTTGGTTGAAGTCACTGAAGGCTGGCCCTGGCTTCTCACACACCAGGGAGCAAGAAGGTCCTAGCAAGCTAAAGGACACCTACAGTGGGGGCATCTGCCGGTGGTGGTTCCCGCCTCTCCCCTCAACCAGCGTTCACCTTGTCAAACTCCACTGCTCCTGTCCGAGAAGCCCCTGCTGGAGGCCACGTCTGCATGGGGACTCGGGAAAGCCCAAATCTGCCTCTCGGGCCCACTCTCCAGTCACCCAGCCGTAGGCCATCACCGACTGAGAGGTGTCCTCCAGCACATCCAGCTCTGGGAGCCTCTGCGCTCGCGGTTCCTTCCCCCTCGCGTCTTCTCCGTGGAGGAGTCTTGGTGCCCTCCCCAGGCAGAACCCCTGGCGCCCCTCCTTGGTCTTTATCACTTGTCCATGCACTTCCTGTGGCAGCCCCTCACTCGTGGGTCCAAGTGTCCCTCCCCAGGTAACAAAACCCACAGGTCCACCTCAGGCTAGGGGCTCCACCTCCCTCTCTTGGTAGCAATGGCTGAAGGAAAGAGTTAACTTTGGAACTCAGGCATTCCATAACCTTTCTTGAAAGCTCCTGAACCCCTAAGGGCCAGCCAGAGCCTTGAAGGGTAGGCTCCTCACCCACAACATAAGCCCAGGTTTTCTTGGGCTCAGCCTTTCACCTTTGACTCAGTCACCTGATGCCAATTCTAAGAACATGAGGCTCATGCACAATCCCTGAGCATCCCAGGCCCCTGTAATAGAAATCCTCCCAACACACTTCAGAGTTGGGGTGTGCAGCCCCTGACAGCCAAGCCCTGACCTCAAGGTCCTGGAAACACCCTCTTTCCAAGGGTAGATCGGAGTGCCCAGGCCAAAATTTAGCCACATGCAGCGGTTAAGTTTGCATGTTCCACTTCAGCGGCCCGGGGTTTGCCGATTCGTATCCCCGGTGTGGACATGGCACCGCTTGGCAAAAGCCATGCTGTGGCAGGCGTCCCACATATAAAGTAGAGGAAGATGGGCACAGATGTTAGCTCAGGGCCAGTCTTCCTCAGCAAAAAGAGGAGGATTGGCAGTAGTTAGCTCAGGGCTAATCTTCCTCAAAAAAAAAAAAACTTAGCCACAAAGCCATGCACACAGGAAGACGCATGCCTCAGGAAGGTGGAATCTATAAGTAAGGCATGGTAGACATCAACATGAGTGTAAACAGGCAAAGACTTTCTAACCCCGTGGCCCTGGAGAAAGGGTGCCTGACCTGCTCCCCCCACCTCCACCCCCACAGAGCACTGGAGGACACTCCCAGGTGAGGAACAGGACGCTTGGCTCCAGACACTGTTGGGCTGATGCCCAAGCCTGCTCTCCTCCCCTCTCCGTGGGTACACATGGAGCTCGAGTGCCCGCTGCAAGGTGTGGATTTCTGGGCATCACAGTCGTCCTCAAGTGGCTTTTTCTTCAATCCAGCTTTAGTGAAAAGACAATCTAGGTATTAACATGGAAAAATCTGCAAACTCAAAAGGCACGTTTTAAGATGTGTCACGTTATTTATTGCAATTCACAGACAGGATGAAACTGCAAGCTCACGCTCCTTGGCACTGGGGTCCTGCTTTGTGCAATGAGTGGTCACAGTCTCGTGGGCAGCTCTTCCTTCTCACTGGGGCTAGCGTTAATGCAGCCCTGCAACATACAACACAACGGTTGGGTCAGTCACTTTTCTAATGCAAGCTGCCTTACCTTTCCTGAAGTGCACAAGACAGTTTAAAAACTTTGGGGGGTGCTGGGGCCGGCCCAGTGGGGTAGTGCTTAAGTTCACACACTCTGCTTCAGTGGCCCAGGGTTCACAGGTTTGGATCCCCGGCACAGACCTAGCACAGCTCATCAAGCCACATTGTGGTGGCATCCAACATAAAATAGGGGAGGATTGGCACAGATGTTAGCTCAGCAACAATCTTCCTCACATATACACAAAACAACTTTGGGGGGTGCTAACTTTAAGGTGGGAAAAACCCTTAAATATTTTTCTCTTATTTTCTTCAGTGTGGAGGATGCTCAATTCACACGCATAGAAAATATCTCAGATTTGCTCTGCTTCCCACACTTCCTCTTGCACACCCAAATAATGTACCCCATCCAGAGTGGAGTGCATCGAGGCAGTGAGGCTCTCTGGCTCTTGCTCTAAGCAGTGCCGTGGCGAGGAGCAGCTTCACCCTGCACGATTGTATTCCATCTGCTGTAGGTTTCCCTGAATGGCTCCACCTCCTCGGTTGGAACTGAGTAAGGAGCATTTCCAAGCAGGACCGACTGGCACTGAGAGACAGGCTGTCTGGGAGAGCGACTGGGTAATTCATGCCTAACCCCTAGTTCTCAGAGGAAATGTCGTCACGGTAAATGCACTCTGAGAACTGTTTACCACCTAAGGCTTGTTTTTTTACATGAAAAAAGATGGATTAGAATGTTAGTGGACAACCTCTGAATAAAGTCCTTGAGAATGGACAGGGTACAAAAGCAGGATAATCCCCTGGTCCAAGGAGAAAAACTTCACTTGGAAAAAAAAATTTCTAAATTTAATGCTACTATAGAAAAGTCTCTCCAAATCACTCTTCCGTTTTCAAAAGAGAATCGGCTTTCCCTGTGAAAGTGGGCCAATGAGATGACAGCTGTAAGAATCAGAACGTGTAATATAGAAATTTAAATAATAAATGTTGTTCTACAAGACACTGAGTTCTGAGCCTAGCTTGGAATGCTTTGTCATTGACAGAGGGATCTGTCACTGAGTGTCGGTAAGCCATGCCTTCTTTCTGGATCAGAACAGAGTCTTCACACCAACAGCAAACGTCACAGTGAGGATTCTTCTGGCTGGGCTCAAATAGCACCATATGGCTGGCTCAAACTATGTGCAATGTCTTATATAAGTTGCATTGAAAAAAGAAAAGAAAGTTTTTACCTTGCTGAAATATTTCTTGTAACATAACACATTGAAAAAAGAAAAGAACAAACCATCTTTACACCCTCACCCCTCTTACAAGGAGTCTGTAGAAGAAGCCTCTCTTTGATTTAGGAAGTGCTTGACGTGTTTTCTCTTTTCGATCTAATGCCATATTTTCCCCATTCTCACTTTCGTTGATGTCCTTGAAGCATTCTGATTCGATCATCTGCATCCACAGAAGAGAAGGACAGAGAGTGGTGGGGAGACACCAAGACGTCAGCCAGCCGTCTCCCACCTGGCACCAGTGCTCAGCGCTCTGGGGCCATTCCAGTTCCCGCCCTCGATTCCTACTTTCCCGGCTTCCTGACCTCTTCTTGGGGGAAGTAACTTGACCTCCTCTTTCGAGCATACCCCCAAAACAGTTAACTACCGTGGGTACCGTGGTGTCAGCCAGCACTGCTTAGGGAGCAGAACCCAGGGTGGGCAAGCCCCCCTCAGACTCCACCTTCTGTGAAGGGACCAGTGGCAGTGGCCATGCAAAATGTCACTTCCAAACACACTCACACACACACACACGTGCGCGTGTGCAAATCTGTGTGTATGTAAAATAGCTAAAACAATATTTTAAAGAAGAAACTGTTTATTATGCACACTACACATAGTTCTTTTTTTTGTCATTGTTCTAGCTAGTATAAACCCGCTATGCTGGAAAGGGCAGTACCTCATTCTGCCAGGGGATGGAGACACACCCCGTAACAAACTGACTGTAGAAGGTGTCATCTGTGGTGTCCAAGTAGACTCCTTTCACCGTGGAGAACTGGTCAATATCCAGGACGTCCTTACAATAAATTGCACGCGGCTGTGCGTCAACAACAAAGAGGCATCGATCGTGAGATGACAGGACGCTTTTGTCGTTTCCTTAATTACTAAGAATACAATGCATGTGAATCAATGCATGAACACCCCTACTGTTCCTGTTCTTTGCTGAGTTCCTCATTTGCAGCATTTTCTAATCCTTCCTCCAGGGAACTTTCAGAGTCACAGACCCCGTGGACACTGGCCCACAGAGGCTCCCACCCTTCTCTCCTGCAGTGGAAGATGGACTACAGTCAGGAGCCAGGGATCAAGAAGGGAGAGGACGGGTGATCTTGCTGGAACGCTGTGGAGAAGGCTGGCGACCATCGGCTGTGGACTCTCACCCCTGCCTCCAGCCCTCAGCTTCCTTCACGGTAAGCACCCTGCATAAAGTCTAAGTGAAAAATGGCAGGCCCCGCTTCTCGCTGTCCTGTCAGAACTCATCTAGTGGTCTCCAGCTGAGGGGGGCATCACAGGCAGCAAATGCCTGAGCCCTCCCGCTCCACTCTGTGGGTTAGCAGACCCCCTACTCTGGGACAGGAGCCCAGGCCTGCAGCACCCACCCTGGCACTGGTGTCCTCAGGTGCAAGAAGTCAGGCAAGCAGGCAGAGCATGTCCAGGCCCAGGTCGCTGCCCTCTCCAGGGTGGCGGCCTGCACTTCTGGGAATAAGGACCAAAAGGCACAGGAGTCTGCAGCTCCAGGCCAGGCCATGCTAATGCAAGAGGCACGCTGCAGTTCTGAGAAATGTTCTACCTGCGTGCCTGAACTTGCACACGACAATGAGTGTGATAATCAAAGAAGTCATGTCTGTAGGTCACCGGTCAGAACTTCTCTGAAAGTGGTGGTCATTCATTCAGTCAATTACCACAAGGTGGGGAAATGGAAGCCAACTGGCAGGCCTTGCCCTCAGGAGACAGTGCAGGGCAAGGCTGGCAAGTATTGAGCCCAGGCTGAAGGGGCTTCCCAACTCAAAGGAAACTGCCTGACCTGTTACCATCAGATCTACTGTCAACTGGCCCCCGTGGGGTCCTCTGCTTAATTTCAGCAGAACACCCAGAGCAGCCCCAGAGCCTCTGCCTGGCAGGCTCTGCCCCACGCTTCTCAGTACACACCTGATGTCATATCTCCCTCCCCAGAGAGACTGTCTTTGGCCTCTCTTCCCTGCTCCAGACCCCAAGCAGCCCCCAGGGCCTGGCAGAAAGAAGGCTCTTGAGACCAGATGGCCCATCTGCAGTCCCGACCATGCACTATCGCTGTCCAGTGTTTTCTGCATCTTGTAATTTGTTTCACTGCCTATTGCTGAGGCCGGAGCGAGCCCCACAGCAACACAGACTTCGTTTTCTCGCTCTCCCTGTGGCCCTAAGACCTGGAGCTGTGTCTGGCAGGTAGTAGGCATTCAATAAATATGCAGTGTGTGAACTAATTCAGAGGAAGAAGTTACTACTATAACATATATAAATATAAAATAAACATAAGTTCTGAATTATACAACTAAAAAATTTTAATTGTACATCCTACTCCCATGATACCCTGCAGACTTATCTTATCTTCACATTTCTATAACCTGCCTGTGGCAGATTGTTAAGGGTAGAGTCCAGACCGTTGCGTTCATACATTTATGCTTTCATCAACAGGAACTGACGTCTGCTGGGGTTCCCACCAAGCACTGACACGTGCCGGGCCGTGTGCTAAGCACCTGGGGACATGACCTCATTTGAGGGCCACAACATGCTCACAGGGAGGCTCAAGGGACCGCTCCAGGGCCCTCAGCGTGGAGCCAGGACCTGGTGAGTCACAGGGTGGGGAAGTGCCTCCCCGACTAAAGAAGCACATGCCAGCACTGACATCAGAAAGGGGCCCTGGTAGCACAGAGGGCCCCACACGGCACACCGAGGAGATCGTGAGCTGGTGCTGAGGTTTCTGGGCAGGACAGTGACACGGGTGATGGCCCACACCAGACACCAGGCTTCGGAAGCCTGAGGGCTGCTAGGAAGGCCTGTGAGAAGGGGTGTGGTGAGCGGTCTGGGGGCTAAGTGGGGAGCAGGGGAGGGAGGAAGAACCAGACGGAGAGGCACCACAAGGCAGAAGCCACACCCAGGCTGCACCAGGCGATTCTGTATCTGCTTGAAAACCCTGTTACGTGGACCCACTTTCTTGGACCCCTCCTGCTCTTCTGGCAGCATACTCACATCAGGACAGAAAGGAGGGTCTAACATGTTTGCTTCCAGCCTCTTGAAGTTAATGTTCTTGAACACAGGGTGTCCCTTTACTCCAGCTGCCCCATCGCCCTTACAGCCCAGGCGTTGGTTGGGGTTCTTGGTGAGTAACTGGGTAAGAGGCAAAAATGGAGTCAATTTAAGCTCCTATGCCAAAAAAGAAAACTCAGAAAATCTCCATGATGATAACCGAAGAATGAGGAGTGGCAAAGAACACCTCCATCTAAATAAAAAAAGGCACTGAAATTTCAAAGCATCAACCAAACCTCATTAATTCAGATTTTACTAATCTACAATGTGATGCTTCAAAAAGGAGTTGAAACTAAAGTTTTGCCTTTGAGATACTATTTCACTGCTAAGTTATAATTAGAAACCATTTAATGCATTCATTAAATCACCAAGGACCTCAGATGAGGCAAAAATTTAGCAAGCTTAGTTCTAGAAATTGTATATCCTTAAAATTAATAGAAAGTATCTCTTTCAAAAGTATTTCTTTCTTATACATTTATAATTGTCAAATTCAAATAAGCCTTCCTCCACAATTATTATCAATCAAAAAGGTTTGGCTGTGCTCAAAGCCACACAGGAAAGTTCTGGGCCTGTAAAATATAGCCCAGACCAGGGGCTGGGAGGTGCAGCCACGGGCCACATCTCACCAGCTGCCTATTTTGTAAATAAGGTTTCCTGGGAACACAGCCGGGCCCAATGGTTCAGCTGTCCGTGGCCGCCCTCGCACTACAACGGTGGAGTTGAAGAGCTGCGGAAGAGATCTGCAAAGCCTAAGAAATATTCACATCTGGCCCCTCACAGAGGAGTTTGCTGACCCCCGGCCTAGACTCACAGCCAGCACCCGTGGCTTTTCTGAATATAAATCAAAGTCCCAGGCAAAGACCAGAACACATTCTGGTTTCAGCTTCTCTGCGCCGCCCCTACAGCCTCACCGTCTGAGCTCCAGCAGTAGCGCACACTCACTTCTTTCGCTTCCTCAAAGTGCGGTGCCATGCCTGCCCCAGGGCCTGTGCACATGCTATGCCCTCTGTCTAGAAAACTTTGCCTGGCTGACTCCTACTAAACCCCTCAGGTTCCACCTTCCTGTCTCAGAGCATCCTCGACTTGTCCCTTAGGATACCCGTCACCACTAATGAGAGTACATCCCTCAGATAATTGCTTAGTGCCAGTCTGTCCTGCAGGACTTGAAGCTTCCGAAGGCAGGGGCTGTGAGAACGCCTGCTGTATCCCCAGCCCGTAGCCAGAACAGGGGCTCAATAAGATCTGCTCAATGCAGTTACTCTTTGCATGCTTTGTTTATTGAAAACATATCTGAAAATTAAGTGTAATGCCAAATACAATTCCGACACCTCAGGGACTCCATGACTCCATCATCCAGCCTGTGCCAGCACACACTGTCCAACGGCCTGACCGGGCAGCACAGGGCAGAGGAAAATCTTGGATCCGTGGTCAGAAAGCCTGGGCTCAGATTCGCCCGCTGCCATTGACTATGGGACGTCATGAAAATCAAAGTCTTAATTTTTCAACTATGAGGCTATGAGAACATCTTAGAAATCCATTGTGAGGATTGGATGAGACAGTGTGTCAAAGAACTCTGAAAATTACAAAAAGGCACCCAAACGTCAGCTGTCACTATGACCTCCCGTTTGGCTTACTGTAAAAACCCGATTTTTTCTCTTTCCTTCCCTTCCTCTCTCTGTCCTACACAAGCCCAAAACTCTGATCTTAAATCCAGCTCGGGCCACTCACTGGGCACACGAGCACAGCGTACTGGGAGCAGGTGCCAGGCAAAGGAACAGGCGGAGAGGGCGTGGAGCCCTGCAGAATCTGTAGGCCCCCTTCAAGTGCTCTGGGCACTGGGGCCCAGCCCACCGTCCCTGTCCCCGTAGATGTTCACTGTGCCTGTTGCCCTGCTGCTCAAATCAACTTTGCATCTTGAGATGCCCTTCCTCCAATCCCTGTTTGCTGGAATTTAACCCACTCTTTAAGAACTCATGGTTCCTCCTCTTAGTAATTACTGAGGATTTTTGTGTTACTAAACACTTTACACGCCTTCTTTCATTTTATTGTCCCAGCACTCCTAAAAGGTAGAAGTTATTACCATCCACATTCTATAGACAAGAAACCTGAGGCCCAGAGAGGTAAGCTCGTCATGGGAAGCTGAGACTCGACCCTCAGCCCCAGCTCACAGCCAGTTCTCTGAGTCATAGCACTGGCCCTCACTCAGACACCACCTTCTTTTCCCAGCATCTCCAACGGAACGGCATTTCCTCACCCTGAGAACCGCTGAGCCCTTGTTTCTATCTCGTTTATGGCACTCACCAAATTCTGCTTTGCTATTATAGCTATTTTTATTTGTCTTAGGCCTAACATTAAACTGCGAGCTCCTGAGGGGTAGGCTCTATTTCTCTCTTCACATTTCGGCAGCCCAATGAGCTGTGTGTAGCAAGCGCTCAGTCAATATTTATCAACTGAACATGAACAGCAGCTTGGGCAGAATGATATGAAATATGGAGCAGCTGACTAAACACTGTCAGCTCCAAGCAGAACAAGGTGGCTGGAAGAAGGGCCAGCCTGAGCCCACTGCCCAATGACAGGCCACTAACGCATACTGCTTCTAATACAGACACAAGGAAAGGGAAACAACTCTCCTCCAGCCACACCAACTCCCATGGTTACTGACATCCTTCAGTGTGAGGCGTAACTGCTGGTGATTCCAACGCCCTCTTGGGGATGCAGTCCGCACCTCTCTGTGGCCTCTTCTCCAATGATCTGGTACTCTGTCCCTGCCCCTGCCACTGTCTCCCTGGGTCACAGCCTAGACTCTTCATGACCAGCAAGACCCACGTCTGCTGCATTTCAAGCAGCTTCCTCTCTGTGCGGCCCTAGTCTTTCTAGCTCTGGCAAGGAGGAGCCCTGACTCCAACAAGCTACGGCTCACACCTCCCTGTAATCTACTGACTCTGCCCTTGCCTCATTCTCCTCTGTAGCCCACTGAGACTCCATGGCCCCATCATTCAGCCACTCCTCTGCACGCACCCCAACCCCGCTGCCTCGCCCCAGCTCCTTCACACTTGCTTAATGAAACCACAGTGCTGGCCGAGTCCAACTCCCTGACTGTTCCAAGCCTGCACTGTCCCGCCGAGCGGGGCAGGAGCATGACACACAATCAGGGCCACCACCTCCCTTTACATCCATGTAGGCCCCTGACACTGCCAAGGAATTACTCCCACCTCCCTTCAGTCTCATCTCCTCCCTCATACCTCCAACGGCTCCCTCCTACTCTCATGTAGCTGATGACCGAAGAGGACAGAAGCCACAAGAGAACATTCACAAGCCCCACCTGCCCCACATCTCCTGTCCACACACTCCACTGGGCGTCAGGTCCTGTCCTCCCAGCCATCACTAGGCTTTGCCCCAGCTCTTCTTCCCTTCCCTGCAGCAGTGTGGACCTCCTCACACATCCACCACATCACAGATCCTGCAGGGTGCTACCTGCCCATCCATCTGGACTCTGACCACCTCTCATCCAGCTCTGCCACCACCCAGGTCTGAGCTCCCCCAACTGTCACCTAAATCTCTGCAAAGCCCCAGCTGGCCTCCCTCTGTCCTGTCCAGTCTCTTCCCAGCACCTGGCGATGGCAAGTCCCAGCACGTCACCCCCTCGGAACCCTGTGATGGCCTCCCAAGGTCAGTGGCACAGCCCCTTGCTTCCTGCCCTATTCTGTCCCCTCTTTGCCCCCTACTCCCGACCCCTCCACACTTCCCTGTCCTGCAGAGTCCACACATCTTTCTCATTTGTTTGGTTTCCTGTTGATTCCCGCCACCCCTGCAGTAGAATGAGAGCACTGGAGGGTGGGATTCTTGTCTGTTTTACTCAGGATCCCCAGTGCCGAGGACAGTGCCTGTCCCATAGAAGATGCTCAATAAATCCTTGCTGAATGAAAACGAAAGAAAAAAACATGCTTGGAAAGTGGTAAGTATTGGCTTAAGATAAGTAAGTGACAGCGAGAGCTTCTCTCATTCCCTTAGTGTCTGGGCCCTAGGGAGTAGAGAAACCGGCCCAGCCCCGAGGGCACATGGGGGCCAACCTGTGCCTCTGGGGCCTTGTGGGGTCCTTAATACATCAAGGAAGGTGGCAGGCACATGGCCAACCATCAAGTCAGGGTGTCTGTTATGACTAGAGTCTCTGGCAGCTAGTTAAAGCGAAGAGAAAAACCTTACTGTTTCAAATACATTGAAGCTTCTGCTTTCTGTTTAGTTTCATAGGAAATTGGGCAGTGAAGTGAGGCTCAGCTGTGTTCTGAAAGGACAGATCGTACCTTGGCACGCTCTTCCCTTTCAGCAGCATCTTTTGAGAAAGCAAAGAACTCCAATCTGCTTAGCTCTGATCGATCAGAAACCAAATTACGTCACTTTCCAGATGTGTCTGGAACTTTTCCCTACTGTCCTGTCCAAATGGAGAGGAAGCCCCATTGGCATCCGCGTCAGGAGGCATCAGGAAGCGACCTCTCGATGCCTCTCCTGAGCCCAAGCGCTCGCTGCAGTGGCTGCTGAAGACCAGCAGGAGGCCGGCTGGGTTTTCCCAACTGCCAGTGAAAGTGACTAGAGCGAGTCAGAGCGTAATTCCCAGCCTCCCGGGGCCCGACCCACCATCCTGCAGATGGACTTGGCGTCCTCCGAAAACTTCTCCGAATACTCTTCAGTATCCTTCGTCGCTCTTCGTTCTACCTCATCCCGTTTGACTTTCTCTTTGAATTTTCTGAATGGAGAATGTCCCTGAATCATTTCATATATCAGACAGCCGAGTCCCCACCAATCAGGACTAAATGTATAGTTTTCATTATTGATAACTTCAGGAGCTACACAACAAATACAGGAAATATAAATTAAGTTAAATTTGGGGTTTAAAATTTCTTGTAACTAATTCCAAATAACACATTATAAATTTAATGTTTGTTACAGCATGGATGAACCCTGGAAACACGTTAAGCAAAAGAAGCCAGACACACAAGGCTAAAGAGTGTACGATTCTACGTATAGGAAATAGGCAGGATAGACAAGTCCATGGAGACAGAAAGGAGGCTCGTGGCTGCAGGGCTGGGGTGGCAGGTGAGGAACAGGGAGTGACCGTTGATGGGAACACAGTTTCTTTTTTGAGGTGATGAAATTAGACAACGGTGATAGTTGCACAGCTGCGAACAGACTGAAATGCACTGAACTGCACGCTTCAGATTGGGGGACTTTATGGTATGAGAATTGTATTTCAATAAAGCTCTTATCAGAAACAGTTTGTACTATTCACAGAGCATGAAATGAATCGCCACAGAGTAACTAACATGGGGAAAATGGTGCCCTAGGGAAGACCCCGCCTCCTGAAGAGGGTGTACCCTCCAAACATGCAGAGCCACGCCCATGGGCACCCTAAGGGTATTGGCCATCCATTCCCAACATAGTCAAGGCCCCCAGCAGCAGGTGACAGCAGACACAGTGGGCCATGGGGTGTACTGCAGAACTCTGCAGAGGCCCTCATTCACCCTCACATCAGAGGCCAGCCCTGGGTCCGGCTAGCGCTGTTGGGCCAGGAGCTGTGAGGTTATTCCTCGGGAGCTGACCCAAGCCCAGAGCCTCCCATTCACAGAGGCTTCAGCATAAGCAGGGAACAACGATTTCCCAAGGGATCTGCAAGGCCAGAGTGTACAGAGGGTGGCAGCGTGAGGGTGCGGAGACCTGCTGGCCTGTCCTGCCTGCCTGCACTCAGCTGCATGACTTCCGCAGGCTGCAGGCCCGTCTGTAAGAGGAGGGTGGACTGCAAGACTCCTGCAGTTTCCAACCCTGGCTGGGCACAGACTTCAACCCCCCGCCCCGCTTATCTACCATGGCTTAGACCTGATCCCCAGGTGCATTCGCATTTTCATTCCTCGCTGTTCTGAGGACTCGGACATCTAGAGAGAAAACAAGGACCGCTGCAGTGGTCTTTTACGCACCCATGTAGCCAACTGTTCCAACTCTTCCTCGAGTTGTCTCCCCTTCTGGGATCTCCACGGCTAAACCAAGATCTGAAATCCGGATGTGTCCTGTGTGTGTTCAAACACATTACACAAATCACAGGGGGACGGGCTGACACTTTAACAACAATAAAAAATGGGGAAAAAACTCTAAAAACCATGGATGGAAATCATAGCAATTCATACTCATAAACATTTAAATCTCAGATTACATCTAATTTTTCCACAGTTGGTAAAATATTAGACAGTGCATTCAGTTCCACTAACAGCGAGAAATTAGATTGACATCTGGCTATTGGTCAGGAAGCCCTTTAACCGCAGACAACCATTTGATAAGACAGAAGCATTGCATTTATTATTTTATTTCTATATAACTACCAGATACATAAAAAAACTATAATGGATGCTACATCAACTACAAAACAGCAAATAAACACTGTCAGAATGCCAGCATGCTTATATCCAGAGACAACAACAGACAAATAACATGAAGTTCTTCTCTGAACAAACGGTAACGGAGGCAGGAAATAGTAAAAACAATTAAGGAACTTCACTTAAAAACTGTGTTATGCTAATGCCTTTACACAGGAAGGTTTAAATAGTTATTAAATTCCTTATGAAAATAACCAATTATAGAAAACATTCTTTTGAGAGTCTAGAAGGATAAACCCACCCCGGAGATGGACACCCTGTGCAACTTCTTCACCACTGTGTCCCCAGCTTCTAACACAGTACCTGGCATGCAGTAGGTGCTCAATAAATATTTATCAAAGAAACGAATGAATCAACAGTAGCTACTGCCTGAATACGAAACATACGCAACACGCCTTCAAGCACTGAAGTCATTTAAAACAGTCTACATCCTACTTCCGACGGGCCTCTGACAGCCTCCGCCACGTTATGAATCGTGCTGTGTCCCGGTCGCACGTCCATGCCGGGGGAGGCAGGAGAGGCGGGGGTTAGTGCAGATTCTGGGGCCACACGGCCTGGTGTTGAGTCCCAGTCCTGCCATTTAGTACTATGGCTTGGTTTCCTTTGAAACAGAAAGAGTCTCTCAATAATGCAGCTTTTATGTGTTTTATGTTTAAGTAGAGTACTGGCATGTCGTGAAATTTTAAATATCTATGTCTTATTTTTCTTCTAAAAAGTAATGTTTTAAACTGAGAAATGAAAAGTAAAAATCACTGATAAACTGACAAAAATTCAAAGTTTGAGAGCACAGTCAGTTGGCGGGGCTGCGGGGAAGCAGGGGCTCTCACACAGTGCTGGTGGGAATACAAATCAGCACAGGGCCCTCGAGAAGAATCTGGCAACATCTGGCAAAACTGCACGAGAACCTATCCTTTAGCCCAGCACTCCCACTTCCGGGAGTCATCCCAAGGATACACTAGAGAAACAAGAAATGACACGTGCACAAGGCTGTGCACTGCAGCACTAACTGAAACAGCGAAAGACGGGGACAGCCTGCGACCTACCGGGGGGACTGGGAACAGCCTGCGATCTATCGGGGGACGGGGACAGCATGCGATCTACCTGGGGACTGGGAACAGCCTGCGATCTATCGGGGGGACTGGGCAAACCAAGCCAGTTTATCTGCAGGCAGCCAGACAAGGGAATGAAGAAGATCTCCATTTTGTGTTGTAGATTGATCTCTGTTATAGATTTAAAAAGCAAAGTGGAGAAAAATACTGCAATTATGTTAATGTCATTAGGAACTAATATTTTCAGTATGAAGAGAAAAAACACAAACGTGAAATGAAGAAGTTAAATGAGAATTGGAAATATCAATATGAATCCATGATGGATATTTTCTTCAAACAATCGATTTTTTCTCTGTCCACTGAAAAGGCTGAGGAAGAACGACCCACAGCATCAATGAGCACCATGGCGCCCACACTATGGTCTCATGATGTCGCTTTCCACACAGAGGACCAGGGCCCCTTGGAGAAATAGCTGATGCCAAGTCTCGGTCAGGACACGTGCAAGATAATCCCGGGATATCTGACCCCAGCATGAAACAAGGAAGTTCTTCAAGACGACTGATGTCCACTGGCCAAAGACAGGACAATCCCAACACTGAAAGGAAGAATGACTCCAGTGGATTAAAATACACCAAAGTGTAAAAACCCACAAGTTCATAATGATACCAAGATGGAGAAAAACAAAAGCCTCATTGGTCATCTTGGAGAATGATAGAGAACTAACACAATATTCTGAAAAGTGGGAAGAAAGGGAAGTATTCAAGTATTTTACCTGCTTTTCCTAAAGCAAAGTTCTTTTTTTGTACAAATAAGTGCAAAGGAAATGACAGAATTAGAATATCATCATTTTACAATCCCAGTGAAATGATCGACCTCAATATCAATCCTTAAGACATTAAGTGAGAGGCTGGAAGGAACTGAATAATAGATGGATCAGGCTGACAACATTCACAACCACTGCTCAATCTGAACACTACAAGAGATATTCAGCCATCATATGCCTCCTGGTGTAACGTAATAGGAAGTACACACAAAGTATGCACACCAACACTCAAACCTGGACCTATTCCAGCCTTCAGATCTATCCACAGGAAAAACACAGGAGACGGAATACATTCAACCCAGCCAAATCTAGAACATGGGAAAATCCACAGGACAAATGTCTGCGTAGTCATCTGCTAGGCTGCCATAACAAAGTGCCACAGGCAGGGGGCCTTAAACAACAGAAATTTATTCTGTCATGGTCCAAGAGGCTGGAGGCCCAAGGTCAAGGTGTTGGAAGGGTTGGCCTCCCTCTTTGGCATGCAGATGATTACCCTCTCCCGGGGCCCTCACATCCATCTATGTCCTAATCTCCTCTTATAAGGACATCGGTCATATTGGATCAGGGCCCACCCCAATGACCTCATTTAACTCTACTGATATCTCTAAGGACCTTATCTCCTAATGCATAACATTCTGAGGTACTGGGGGTTAGGCCTCACATCAATTTTGGAGGGACACAACTTGGCCCATAACACCTGGTTTCACAAACAACCAAATGACAAAAAGAAGCAGGGAGGAGGAACCTATGAAGCTAAAAAAGACTCAACAATATATCAACAAATGTAATGTGGACTTGGTTGAATATTCAATACGCAACTATAAAAACATTTATGAAATAATTAAGGAAGATTTAAAGCCAATGGGATATTAGGTGATACTAAGGAATCATTAAATACTTTAAGATATAATAATAGTATTGTGTTTATGTTAAAAAAAAAAAAAGTATTCTTGGGGCCAGCCCTGGCGGCCTAGTGATTAAGTTTGGTGCACTCTGCTCAGCAGCCCAGCTTCAGTTCCCGGGCCTGGACCCACACCAGTCGTCTGTCAGTGGCCATGCTGTGGTGGTGGCTGACATACAAAATAGAGGAAGATTGGCAACAGATGTTAGCTCAGGGCAAATCTTCCTCAGCAAAGAAAATAATAATAATATCCTTATCTTTATTTTATAGATAGAAGAATATGATATACAGGATTTCCTTTAAAATGATTATCAATAATAAAATGGTACTTGTTTTTACAAAAACTATTTATCCCATTTTTTAGGAATATATCTATTCCATAAAACTGAGGCCTCTTCTTTAGAAAATATAAGCATGACTCAGTTTCCTTTGTTATCTCAAACCCCAGCTGCATCTCATAAACCATGTCCTTCTTAATTTATAAGTTTGCAAAAAAGAGTGCTGCCATATTTAGGATGGACAAATGGTAAACGAACCTCACAACCTAGAACAGATGATAATTAACATTTTTTTTTTACCTAATTCCACCACAAATGTCAAGTTCTGATTTATGAAAACAGAAAAACTAATAAGCGGTCAAGAAGGGAAAAGAAGTATTTACACAGACAATCATGTTACTCTGATGTTCTATGGCTTACTGGTGGAAATTAGTTCTTAGGAATTTTAACTGCATGATAGTAAAAATCCTAAAATCAATTGTGCTGTTTAAATCATAGAAACTAAAGTATAGCCAGGAGTATGTTTTTAAAAATTAAGAGTAGAAAAACTAGAAGAAAAGAAAATTAAAAGTCCCCTGAAATCAAGCAAAGCAAAACCCAGTTTTGTCATTCCTTTCTATTCTTAACTGGAATGTGACCAAGTCCATGGTGTATAGGAACAAGTAAGGCAGTAACTCCCACAGAAATGGTGCTGGGCTCCTGCCTCTGGGCGGGGTGGAGAAGGGCAAGGCGGGCCCACGCTACCGCTGCCCACAATGAGAAGAGCCTGGCAAATCACAAAAGTCACACTTTAAAGGCAGCAGCGAGCGCTGGCAGTGACTAGACCAGATGGACTAAACCTTCTGAGCAGGAAAAGCACAGAGGTGAGCTGACGAGGGGCAGAGGTGTTTTCCTCAGAAGCAACTGCAAACCCCAGTCAAACGTGAGGCTGCTGACAGGGGTGGGGGACCCTCATGGAGACCTTCCAGGTGCTGCCACCTGGACTCTAACTGAGGCTGGAGCAGCTGGAGGCTGAGAGTCGAGATCGGAGCCCTGGAGAGAGCTTCTGGGGCAGAGACACCAGCACAGATTCTGGCATTCGAGCGCATGGAAGAGGCAAACTTGGGGATCAAGGACCTCAAAAACAGAACCAGCTTCCTCCTCAAATATCAGGAAACAGAATCTAGCAATCTAGGTAAAAGATAACACATTATGCCCAAGTTGGATTTATTTTAGGAATGAAAGGTTAGTTTAATGTTTGAAAATTAATTGGTGAATTAACTATATTAACAGAAAAAGTGTATCATATAATCACCTTGATTAAAAAAAAGCACTGACAAAATTCAACAGCATTCATTATTTTTTAAAAAAGGAAAATTCTTAAATCTGATAAAGAATTCCTACAAAAATACTACAGCAAATTTCATACTTAATGTTGATACATTGAAAGACGACTCCTGAGATCAGGAACAAGAAAGGATGCCCACTATTTCCACTTCTAGTCAATGTTGTACTGAAAGTCCCACCCAGTGTCACAAGGCCAGAAAAAGAAACAAAAGCCTTAAGAAGCAGGAAGGCAGACGTAAAACAGTCATCTGCAGATGGCAGGGTGGTGTATGTAGAAAATCTCAAAGAATCTACAAACTTTTAGAATTAAGTGAATTTAACAAGTTCACTGGATATAAAGTGAATTGTGATTGTAACCAAAAGCACAATCCATGAAAGAAAAAATTAAGATGGACTTCATCAAAATTAAAAACACCTTCTCTGTGAAAGATACTACTAAGAGAATGAAAGACAAACCACAGACTGGGAGAAGATCTTTCTGAAACATTTATCTGATAAAGGACTGGTATCAAAAATATACAAAGAACTCTTAAAAGTCAACAGTAGGAAATGACAACCCAATTAAAAAATGGGCCAAAGACCCGAACAGACACCACACAATGAAGATATACAGATGACAAGTCAGCCTGTGAAAAGATGCTCCACATCATATGTCATTAGGGAATTGCAAATTAAAACAACAGAGAAGTACCACTCCACACCGACATTCTAAAATGGCTAAAGTTCAAAACACAGATAACAGCAAATGCTGACAAGAATGTGGAACAACAGGAACTCTCATTCATTGCTGGTGGGAATGCAAAATGGTACAGCCACCTTGGAAGACAGTTTGGCAGTTTCTTACAAAACTAAACATACTCTTACCATATGATCCAGCTATCCCACTCCTTGATATATATTCAAAGGAATTGAAAACTTATGTTTATGCAAAAACCTGCACACAGATATTTTATAGCATCTTTATTCATAACTGCTGAAACTTAAAAGCAACCAAGGGGCTGGCCCAGTGGCACAGCAGTTAAGTTCACATGTTCCGCTTCGGCGGCCCAGGGTTCGCCGGTTCAGATCCTGGGTGTGGACATGACACCGCTTGGCACGCCATGCTGTGGTAGGCGTCCCACATATAAAGGAGAGGAAGATGGGCACGGATGTTGGCTCAGGGTCAGTCTTCCTCAGCAAAAAGAGAAGGATTGGCAGCAGATGTTAGCTCAGGGCCAATCTTCCTCCAAAAAAAAAAAAAGCAACCGAGATGTCCTTCAGAAGGGGAATGGATAAACAAACTGTGGACCATCCAGACAATGGAATATTTTTCAGTGCTAAAAAGAAACGAGCTATCAAATCGTGAAAAGACATTGAGGAAATTTAAATGCATATTACTAAGTGAAAGAAGCCAATCAGAAAAGATTAGATGACATTTTAGACGAGGCAAAACTATGAGAACATTAAAAAGATCAGTGGTTGCCAGCGTTCGCGGGGAGGGAAAGTCACAAATAAGTGATGCACACAGGACTTTGAGGGAAGTGAAACTATTCTGTGTGATGCATACATCATTAGTACACATTTGTCAAGACCCACAGAATGCACAACACAAAGGGTGAACCCCAAGGTAAACTATGGACTTCAGTTAATACTAATGTACCAATATTGGTTCATAAATTGTAACAATGTATCAGACACTATTACAAAATGTAAGTAATAGAAGAAATTCTATTTCTAAACATCAGCAACAGGCAAATAGAAAGTGAAGTTTTAAAAACAATAGCGCTAAAAAACATCAAATAACAAAAACACGTTACCTTTTGTAAAAAAAGACCTTTACAATGAAAACCACAAAGTGATATTGAGAGAAATTAAAGGAGACCCAAATATATAGAACTGTATACTATATTCCTCAATTGAACTATTCTCGGTAAGAGCCAGAAGCTATGAACATGCCTTTGGGCAAGATACTTCCAATCTTGGTACTTCCCTTGATAAAGTAAGGATTCATTACCTTCCTCCCAGGGTGGCTGGTTCATGCATCAATTAGATAACAAGCAGGAAAGCTTGGCAGAGTCTGTATAAAAGAGGTCTTTGCATTAAAAGTACCCCATGTTTGCCTTCAGGATGCATTGTCTTAAACACCGCCCTGTTCTCCTTTACTGGAGTCATCTTGGCCTGGTCTCATGCTCTCCACTGGACTGTAAGACTTCTCAAACAACCAAAAAAGTCACCTGAAAAAAGTTCCCTCCAAATATTGCTTATGTGGTTACTTGTTAATACACCAGCTAGAGCAGGTGTGGCAACAAGTCTTATATTCTCTTGTGCAGTCGGCACCCAGAGAACCAAGGTCTGAGTGGGCACCTGTGCTGCTGACAAAGAGCTAGCCCCAAAGGGCCATTATTACAGGGTCCCAAACTGCCAGTCAAAAGAGAGCTCATGCAGCAACCCGTGTTCCTGCTCTGTGACGCATGCTCTTCTAAAAGAGGCCAGCACAGAGAGCAGCACGCCATGGTTCAGGAGGGCGTGGAAATACACATCTAAGAAGTAAAGCAAGATGTGAGTCAACGGCAAGAAACAGGAGAGAGAAAAATGTTCTTCTTTTGAGTTTACTTTAATATGCTTCTAAAACTCAATTATTAACTGAAAATTATGACCATCTGCTTCTTGCCTAAATACAGGGGAATGACAACGTTATCTACGTTATATTTTTTAATGAACACGTACCAGAGAGTTTCTCTATTTGTTGTTGTTTCTATTCTGCATTAACCAGCTAAGTCCACATTAACTTTCTACATCCAAGTTCCTGTTAACAAAGTCTATGCTTTAGACGTGAAAGGCTCAGTCACTTACCATGATCATCGAGGAGAATATTCTCAGGCTTTAAATCTCTACAAAGGAAGAAACAACAACAAAAAGCTCAATTATTCAGAAGTTGACACTGCAATTCACCAGCAGCCTGCAGAAATAACCACAGATGTCTCTGCTGTGAGCAACAGCAATAACGGCAGATAACAAAGCCACCCGTTGTGGATCAACTTAGGAGCCCTCCAGTCACCACAGGTTTCAGTCATCACGTGCAAGGACACGGATTCTTCAAAGGATCCATTTCAACAGGCAACGTACATCATGACGACAGTGTAAAACGAACTGCTTTGCATAGATAAACAGATTTCAGTGAAGACATTTCAGTGACGAAATGTGCAGCCCAGTAGTAAGGAATTAGTCCTTAATAAACTTGGTTCCATTTTTCTTATCATTAATATGCTTTTCAAAATGTCAACAACTGAAAATTTCCCACACTAGAAGAACTCAGTTTTGGGGGTGAGACAGACATGGATTCGAATTCTGGCTCTGCTACTTTTCAGCTGTGTGACTTTCCCTGTCTAAGCCTCAGTGTCCTCGCGTGTAAAGCAGAGTGATCAACACCGGCCCACTTCCCGGCTGCGCGGCTTCCGGCGAGCTCAGGCCTCACAGCAGCAGCACATAGTCAACCTCAGCAACCGCCACTCGCAGCTCATCGTGAAGGTAGAGGGGGACCACACACTTCGAATAAAAGTACATCACCACAGACTAAAATATTCAATTGTAACAGCTCAAACTATTTGTTTTTCCCCTTAGAGAAAAGAACAATTATTTTTCAAAGGATCTGTATTTAACTTTGATTTCAAGTGTGATCCTATCACAACGATCCATCTGCCCTGAGCATCACCCCTCAATCCGCGGTCACGTCACTAGAACCTACAGAGGGAACTGAAGCCAGATAAGCACTGAAACAGACAACGCGGAAACAACAAAGAGCAGGAGGATGGGCTCGGGAATGGTCTGGAAAGACAGCTCTCGCAAAACCAAGAACAAGCTAAACTGAGTGCTCCCCAGCACACCACAGGCTGCAGTTAGTGCAAAACCAGGCTCCCAGGAAGCGATGGCAATCGATCCTGCTCAGTAGCTCAGAGAGGTGAACACATGCATGGGTAGCTGTGTAGAATCGTTTTCTGGAAAGACACCCATGCCACTGTGTTAAAAGTCTCCACGGAGAGAGGGACTGGCGGCGGAGGGCTACGGATGGGTGCCTTCTGTGTTTGCCTTTTCTGGCCGTGTGCACAGGCGCCTGCATTACCTGGATGAGATGTTGACCATTTTTGTTTTTTCCTTCATTCTTTTCTGTATTAAAAAGAATCCTAATAATGTTATTAAAAATAAAGCAACCCTCCTTGACAAGGAACTTGCACAGCCTCCTCCATTACGCAGTCTTATGCTCAACATCAACAGAACACCTGCCCACCTATCTTTAGATTTGTCTCATCAGACTTCCTAAAGCCTCGCTGCTCGCTGCTCGGAGTGTGGGCCAGTGTCACTGTGGGGCTGGACAGAGTGCAAATCGTGGGCCCAACCCAAGACCTACTGACTCGGACCCTGCATTTTTGCCTGGTCCTCAGGATTCCCTGTTCTTTAAAGTGTGCCCTAAACAACTCCCTCCAGCTCTACACTCAGCTGTCACCATCCACTGCTGGTCACCTTGTTCTGAAAGGACACGCATTGGATACAGTACACAAAATAATGATAGTAGCAGTAGTGATATCAGCTAACATCTATGGGATGCTCACCATAGGACGAGACTTGTGCTTCAGCATTCTAGGTACACCATCTCCTATAACTGTCACAAACCTCTGTGGAACAGCTATAGATAAAGTGCTGCTCTTGGGGTGCAGCAAAGTGAAGTGGGTCCCAGAGATGCTAAACAACCAGCTGGGACAGACGCCAAAGCCAGCCTTGCTCATGGCCCACCGCACACACCGCACACTGGATATGTAGGCGTAAACAAGCATCGCAGCTTTAGGCTACAAAGTGTTGTCATCTCTTGAACCTTCCATCAAAAACTCTCTCTTCAGGCTTTTAATCAACCCAGTCGTTCCCTCCACGCCATCCGCAAGTCTGGGCCCAGGGCGCTATGTGGAGAGGACACTGGCCGCGGCCTCATCACTGCACAGGTCACTCAGCCCCTGGGGCTTGGTTTCCTCAACTGTCAGGTGAAGGAGTTTCCTAGGTGATCTTTTCATCTCCTTTCGGGCTGAAAAGGGATGATCTAATCTTAATCTGAAAACAAGAAGACAAATGACGTTCAGCATGTACAGGAGGGTCTGACCGAAGCTGAGGATAAAAGGAAGTAAGGATGTCTTCCGGCTTTTTGGTAACTCCTCCCACGAGAGAGCCTGCTGACCTGGTGCAACCTGGATGTGCTCTGTTGTGCTCACAGGGCGTTGAACTCATCTTGTACCTCCATGTCCTGCCAGAAGCTCATTGCTGGGCTTCATGCCTCTCCTCTTCTTGATAAAAAAGTACTTTCCTATCTGTATCCCATTTCCCAACTGCTCCAGGTCCTGAATTATCCTGAGATGGTAAAACTGAAGATGATTTCTGGAGACTGCCTGCTCCTCCCGCATCCCAGCGAGTCTGCTTTCTCCTGCTGCCTCTCTGTATTCTGCTGTCAGCCCCTCCTGGGGAGAAAGACCATGCACAGACAGAGAAGACAACGGGGACAGCCTGCTGGGCACGATTCTGGAGTAGGGTAAAGAGAAAACATGGGCTGGCAGAGCCACAGTTGAAGGTCCCAGAACTCTGGCTTAACTAGAACTTCAAGACCCTAGCCTTGAAAATTAGCTCTGTTCTAACCAAAGGCATCAGGAGCAATGTCCTTGATGGGGGTGTGGGCGTGTGATGAGAAAACAGCCATTCTGAACTGCTGCTTGGGCATTTTACAGTGTGACAACCTGCTCGCACTGAGTCTGGACGTTTAGAGAAGGCCCTGAGCTTAGGGTGCCCACCGTAAATTCCCATTTTGCTTTTCCTGGGGCACCTTTTAAAATGACCACTTAGAGTTGAGCCCACAAAAAGTTAGTGACCTCCGCCCCAACCACCTTATAAGTAATATGTGCTTACTCCCCTGCTTTCTGTCTCCTGCTGGCTCGTCACCTGCTCATTGCATCGCCCCACTCTGTTCTGGGATCTGTAAGTAATAAATCTGGTGACTCTACTTCCTCTCTGTGCGTGCGTTGAAACTGCACCTTCAACCAAAACGACCCATGCGTTTCACTTCCTCAAAAGTGGGAGCTCAGCTGATGCTGAGGGAGCTACCTGCTGACTCCACGTGGGTGGCTTGTCCCTCATTCATCAGGTCATAATCTGCAGGCTGTTCATTCAATCCACCAGCTCCAGGCCCCTCAACACAGGGGGAGGGGCAGGGCAAGGGAACAAAGGCAAAAATCCCTTTGGCTCACTCCCAAGTGTTCCCTCACAAATTCTCCAAGAAAATATGGCTCACCAGTCTCAGGCCAAGACTCTGAGGTCCAAGTCAATCAGTGGCCCTGTCCAGAAAGGCAGACCTGCCTAAGAGAAATGCCAGCAAATGGGCTTGTTCAGCTACTGTTGTTTTTAGAGAACTAGCTACCAAGAGGTAGCAATTTCCAATCTGGAGGAATGTGGGTCATATACAGATTAACAGTTCTTATAAACAGTAAAACTCACCATTCTTTAAATAAATTAACTTCTCTGTTTCAAAAAGGGTAGAAAACAGAAGACATTATCCTTTGAAGCACTTGTAAATGGTAATTATATTTCTATTTACATGTTCACTTGCACACTGTTCTTCTGGACTCTAGGTTATAAGCTTCCTGAGGACAAAGACCTCAAAATATGATCTGTTCCCAAGACTGTGCTTCCAGCACACAGCTCAGGAGCATGTATACACCTGGGGCTCAATATATATTTCTGGAATGAATGAAGGAGCCTTTTAGCTACAGATAAATCTAATGTGATAACAATAATCTGTACTGTCTAATGGCCTGTTATGGCCCAACTGACTACTGAAAAAGTTATAGATACAAATCACTTGCTTCTCACCATCAATCTATTACACACCAACTCCCTTCTCCTTTTTACAGTGGGGGAGATGTCATCTGCTTTTAATCCACAATTCATCCCCTAGAAAAAGAGATCCAATGCACAGCTAAACATCCATCTCCCTTAGGAAATTTCTAATGATATCTTCTCTTAATTATTTCCAACTATAGCATTCCAGACCGGTGGAAATTTCATGCTTCACATTGTGTTAATAAAGAAAGAGTCAACTTTCTTTGGAAATGTAACAATCCAACAAAACTGCCAAGAAAAGCCTCAGGTTTACACTCCTGTTATGGGAAAAAGTGTCCTGAAGACAGAACACAAGACCTCGAGACCTTGTTCGTATCCATTGCTCACTAAGAAGGTGACAAGAGACAATCTCTCTTATCTGTAAACGGATGTGATACTTACCTCACAAGACTGTTGGCAAGATGAAATTGCTATTGGCCCTGATATCGGTTCCCCTACGTTAACCCCAGCATATATGGGGTTAAAACCAAAAGCACCCATCCCCTTTCCCTGCTTCTTTAGTTACATCACATGTAAATATCGGTTTCTTTAACCTTGTATCCATGAGCTTCACAGATGCAGGAAACTAGTGTTGAGATTAGATCACTCACCTCCTCCTGCACAAAGCACATAGAAGTTACAAACTGTTAAAATCCAGGTGGCCTCACACTGAAGTCTTGGCTAATTATGGGGCCTTGAAGTTTATTGTAGGAAAACAGACATCCAGAGAATATCAAGAAACTAAAGTTTCCCAGACTCCAACTCCTTGGGTTCCCGGCCCTGGAATCCACCATCCATCACGGAAGCAGACAACCAGGGACACTCACCTGCAGATTCCCTCATCTCGCCAGCCCTCTCCCTGCACATAGTCACATTCCTCACAACCTTTAAAACTCCTTGCCTCTCGTCTCTCAGCAAGACAGATCTGAGTGCTTATCCCTGTCTCTTGGCTGATGCCACCCAAAATAAACCTCTTTCCTTG